GAAGCCACCCAATGTCCTTCAACATGGAATGGACAGATAATTGTGCTGTATTCATATGACAGAACATATTACAGAGAAGTCAGAGTAAATAAGAGCTTATACAGAGTGCTGTCTACGTGCCAAGTACTGTTTCTTTGCCTTTTACATAAATTAACTCATTTTTATACTCAGAAAAGACTAAGATTTCCCCTTTCATAGGTGAAGAAACAGACACAGAGGAATTTAGGAACTTGCCCAATATTACACATGCATAGTCAGGATTTGAACCTTAAAGCCTGACTTGTGCTCGTAATCCACTATTCTTTCTCTACAGCAAATAAATTATAAATGCAAGTAACATGATGAAATCTAAGAAATAGTGATGCATAAAAGAAAAGGCAATTTTTACACAGCTTGAAAGTGGTGATGTTAAATAGTGCGCCCTGCAAGGAAACATACACAGGCAATGCATACAGTATTAGGAAAACAGATGGTAAAATTTTAAAAAATGAAAACAAGGTAACGATAAACATAAAATCTAGGACAGGCTTTGCTACTGGGCAACAGAAGAACATGCAGGCAAATAGGGTGGAGAAGGAGGAGGAGGCGGCTGCCCCCTCAAGGGGATTGAAGATATTCTCCTCTGGAGGTGCATGGTGGGGTCAGAGGCATTAGCTTTATTATTGTGCATTCTAACATATTTATGTTCTTTGTATCCTTCTGTGTACAAGCAGTACATTTTAAAAGAGATTAAGAAATAAATAGAAAGTAAAAAAAGGAGAATAAGATTTGGATATATTTTCAATATGTTTGATCTGAAAGAAAGAGGGCTTTGGTGTCACCAGATAGATCCCTGGTTACGTGAGTCTATGTCTTTGAGAATCTGAATGGTGCTTGGAGATACACAAACTAGACTCGGACTCAGGCTGATTTTGTCTCCCAGGGGATATCTGGTACTATCTGGAGAATTTTTTCGATTGTCATGACTACGGGGAGGGCACTGCTGGCATGTGGTAGGTAGAAGCCAGGGATGCAATCAATATTCTGTGGTGCATATGGCACCCCGTCCCCAACTAAGAATCATGCAAAATGCCAGTACGACCACTATTGAGAAGCCCAGGACCAGAGAAAGCAAAGCAGGTGAGATTTAAAAATATAATGGTAGGCAAGTCATCAAGAGAGCAAAGGCCAGAGGACAGCTTGGCCCCAAAGCAGACACATCACATGTTGGAGCCAGGCGAGCACTAAAGAGCCAACCTTTCCTCACGCCCACACTTTTAAACAGGGTATTATGAAGTAGACCTTACTCCTATTCTGTGCTTATTAAAAACACACACTTAAAAGACCTATTGAGAGTTTTATTGCTAATCCTCTGGCCAAACAGGGGGGATAAGCACAACTATGAAACGTAGACAAGGCCATGGTACTTCAGAGCTAAAGCAGCATCTGCCTCGGGACCTCTCCCCGGCACTTGTTCCTACATCAGATCTGACAGGTGTCTTTGCAATTTGGAAATTTAGAAGTATGAACTAAATTTATTACTCAAAAAGTTCCCCAAAATTATGTAAGCTGTAAGCCTTGCAGAATGAGGATTCATTCTTGAGTGCAGGGAAGTTATTCAATTTAAAATTTGTATAGCTGCTTTCCCTGACCTCCTGGCCCGAGGGCACCCTGAGGCTAATGGCTCCATCCCACTCTATTTGGTTGTCTGAGATGCAGTTTTTAAAACCTCATCACACTCCAGGTCCCTACCCTGATGTAGTCTTCACAGGTCATTTCCCCCATAAAATCCTGTCTTTCTAGCTCTGAAGGCCTGAGGGTATAATTAGGACACAACAATAAATGAGAATAATTAAGCCATTCAATCTCCCCTACTCTGAGTGGGAATCACATAAGAGTAAGATGTTACCTCTTGGTCTTCTGATCTACAAGAAAACAGCTCTACCAAATTGTTATGAGATTTTGGGTACATAAGAATCACCCAGGAAACTTTTTATAAATGTGTATTCCTGGACCCCACTCTATAAGAATAATATATCCTGGTCCAAAGATTATAATTTGAGAACCACATCCTTAACGCAAAGGTTTTAACCTTCTAGGATGCCAGAGCTTTTAGAGAATCTTTTAGTATTCACGTACTATCCATTTTAACTTAAAGATCCATATATGGCAGCCTTCTTGTAGTACCTACTTTAGATAATCCCTCACCAAACATCAGATTGTGTAGGTGATAATAGCTAGGGAAAAATAAAGAGGGCCAGTTGGGACTGAAGCAGAAAAGAGATCAACCAAAGAGTGAGAGAAAAAGCCATTGAATTTAACTAGCAAGAGGTAATATGTGTGTAGTGTGTGTGTGTGTGTGTGAAGGTACATTAACCTTCACATATATTACACCATATATATCTCAAGAGTGGGAGACCGAGGGAGAAGTAAGAAGAACTATAGAGCAAATAAAGATGTTGAAAGGAAAGACTTGGGGTGAGATGCAATATTTGCCTCTACTCCATCGTCTAACCCTTCCAATGATAGTAAAAAGATTAAAAGGGCATAATCCAAAAAGGACAAATAGAATTAGAGTGTAGATGCCAAAGAAATATCAGCAACATTTTAGAAACTGTAAAACATATGGGCAAGTGTTGACTGGCTTTGCACACTAGGAAAAGCAGAAATCTAGCTGCCTACAAGATGACAGGAGCCAAGAAGCAAGCTGATTCATAAAAAAATAACTGCAGAAATTCTCAAAAACGAAGCCCGGGCAGTGGGAAGAGGGGAGGGGTGGGTATGGATGAATTCAGGAGAAACTGTTCAAAGAATGTAAAAGTAATAAGGCCAGGCAATAAAGGGGAAACAAATCTGAGTTACAGGAGTCCCAAAAAGAGCATAAAGAGAATGGAGGGAAGAAAAAAATTGCAGAAATAATGAGCATTTTCCAGAGCTAAGGGCTATGTGGTCTCTAGCAGAAAGCCCCATCTTAGTGCAATAGATACTAAAAGAATGGCACTAAGAGAAACACGAGAAAGTTTTGAAACACAGATTAAAGGGGGGATTCTAAATGCATGGGCTCAGGAGTTTGGAGGCAAGGAAATAAGTTACATCCAAACTTTGAAATTAAAATAGCATCAGACTTCTCAGCAGCTATAATGAAAGTTTGAAATCAACAAAACAGCATCCTAAAAATTCGACCTGAAATTTTATGTCCATCAGTCATGTGTGAAGTTTGAATAATAAAATTTTCAAATTTAAAAGACTCAAAATTTGACTTTGGATTCTTTTCCAAAAAACCAGGAGAGGATATGCTTTAGCATCATGTCAGGGTAAGCTCAGATAGACAGGAGATCTGGGAATCTAGTGCTCTATATAGGTGGGAGACCAAGCAGGTCCTCCAGAATGGCTGTGAGGCTAAGCTTCAGTAGCACAGGGTAATAGGACCATGAGGGATTTCTTTAATTTAAAAACCAAAACACAACTCTTTGGGAGGCTGAGGCAGGAGGATCAGTGGAGACCAGGAGTTCATCACCAGCCACGGGTGTAACATAATGAGTTCCTGTCTCTACACAAAATAATAAATAAAAACGAAAACAAAAACCAAACCAATGTTAACTGATGAACTGCTAAGTTTTACTATATGGAGCATCAGATCTCTTGTAGAAAGGTTGGTGAAAAATTAGTGAAACAAATATAAGAATCTAAGAAAATGGGAAGATGTGATGATTTTTAATACTAAAAGAAACTAGAACATTGAATAAAAAGACTTAAAAACTTATACTATGTGGCTCAATAGTAAATACTATTTCCCTAATTATAAAAATTTAAAGACATAATTATTAACTAAAAATTGTGGCCTAATTATGTTAGAATAATAGGGAATAGGTAAGTCGAGGGTTTGGGGGGCACAGATATTTGAGGTGTGGCTCTGCAGGATAAGAAAGCTAAAATCCTCAATTTTTCCAAATTTAGTAGATGTTGCTTAAAACCAAAGAGTTCAATAAAGAATAGTACACAAATGCTTTTTTGAAATATAGAAGTAGGAACCAAAAGAAAAAGCAAAGTTTAAAACAATAACCTCTAGGAATAGTGAACTGACAAGACCAAGGAATGACGCTTTTCCTCATAAGTAAAAAAAAAAAAAAAAAAAAAAAGGCTTTAGATGGAATTGGACTGTGTCTAACACACATATTAAATGCCCAAGGTGGTGGATACCCTAATTACCCTGACTCTTTAAATTCACATTGTATCAAATATCACATATACCCTATAAAGTTATACAACTATAATGTACCCTTGTATAATAACTAAAATTTTTAAAAAATGACTAGAAAATACAGACATGGCTCAGTTTTTTGGCAAACATGGAGCAAACCAATTTTAAAGAAAGTATATTACATAATGCTTGCATTTATGCCAAAGAAATACTGTGTTCTAAATATCTCTATATGTTTTGTGTAAGACTGATAGGGGTCTTAGAAAATTTATTTCAGTTCTCTGTATGAGTATGGAGTGCATATAAAATCGAATTTCCTTCCTCCTTACCACAGTAAACCTTTTTCAAAAGATGTTGGATACTTGTTTATTTTTATATTGTCTATTCTTCCCCCAGGTTAAAGGAGCACCCACTTAAATGAGCATTGTTGCCAAGAGAACGATATGAGGTAATGATGTTGAGGTCATATGTGCATATTTCTTCCAGTTTAGATTTTTGGAGTAAGAAAGCCCAGAGGAACTGCTGGTAATTCGGCAAGCTCCAAAAGCAGGTCTCAGGACTGTGGGTGTGGTGACAAGCACCACTACACAAGAGGAATGTCAATGCAAGAAGGAAGAGCCTCTGGGAATCCAGACATCAGTGTTGTGCTAGGAACATTCATACGTAAGCTGTACTGAAAATGATTTCACTTTAATGAATATTTTATGTAAACTAAATATTCAAAAATTTCAAATAGTCAACCCAGTGAAAAAGGGCAAGTGATGTCCTTGCAATTTCCCCCGCTCATTTCCTTCCTGAAATACAGTTGGATGTTTCATACCTCTTTATAGCCATCACTGATTCTCTCCAAGCTGAGGGAATACACAAGGTCCCTGCCTCCCACAAAGAGTCGCTCTTGATATTCATCCAGCAGCATTGCATGGAGATCAAGAAATCCAAAAGGGCTATGAAATATTGATGTTCTGTTCAGCTCCAAGAGCTCTGAAACACAAAGAGATATGTATGACAAAGACATGAGAAAATGCAAATGCCCTCATAACATAGTTTTCTCATAGTTCTATTTTCATCCCTACTGAAACTTAGTAGTTAACATTTATTTATCATAAATATACTTGCAATCCATTTCAATGTGCACAGATTAAAATCTTTCATTATACATTTAAAAATCTAAGAACTTTAAGTTAACTCGTAAAATAAATATTCTATGTTTTTAAATACATAAAGATATCATCTTTGGCAATCCTTAATGTATTATGTGGAAAACTATAATATTTTACAACTTTTATAATCTCTAACAAAATTCCAAATCTATATTGAACCCACCCAAAGTGTGCTGTGTTTACTTAATCCCAGGTGAAAAAAAATCAAAAGAATGTTACTTGTAATTGATTTGGGATGTGACTTTGAAAACCAAATTTTCCAAATCTGGTATCTATTGGGGTTGTTAATACAATGAGACGCAAACGTGGTAACATTCACTTCAGTGCGGAATCTCTGATAAAACTGGTAGGGATCTATTTTCTACCACTGATTTTGGTCAAGGTTCATGCATTCATGCCTATGTCAGTAATTTAAAACTGTACGTTTTAGTGATATGCATTTAATTTTAAGAAGTCAGAATCTGGCAAACCACTCATGTGTGCATTTTTTCGTTGAAGGTATTTAATTGCATGTGGCAGTTCAGTATTTAAAGCTGGTAAAATGATATATGAGACCCTTTGGTAATGACAGAGAATACTGCCCCAAAGAATAGATCCTGCCCATTGAAGAATTCCTGAGGAGTACCCTTGGGAAATATTCGCAAGTTAGAAGATAATTGTCTTTTCCAAAAGCCAGGCCTAATGCATCTGACAAATCGAAAGCATTGTGCCCACTCCTACACCTTTTGTTTCTGAGAAGCAAACTAGGAAGTACTTTTTCTCTAAATGAATTCCTTGTTCAAATCTCTACTGAAAGTTTTAATGCCCCAAAATTTGTGGTGTAGGGTTAGATTTAAATCATTTTAGTTTAAAATAAACAATACTGCTAAAAACAATATATTCCTTATAACAGTGAAAATTAAATACAGTCACTTGAGTCATATCCAGTTTTGAGGGTGGGAAAGAAGAAATACCAGGTGCTTTATTTGGAGAGTAAAAAAGTAATTTGAGAAATTTAACCCAGTAAGACAAATTTTTTTCCTACTTAATAATTTTGTCAAAGTTGAATCATATTGTTTTACCTGCTAGGCATTGACATACAGCAAAAGAAGCACATTTTGTGATCCAATATTACAAAAAAATACAGATCAGAGGCGTCTGTTGCCATTATACATTGTCTGTATGTATTAGCATTTGATTTTCTAAGAGGGCTGCTAAGTGGACACTTTCCCAGAGGTTTCCCAGTTATTACAATAGGTTGCTAAAATTTTCAAATTTTTAAGCAAAGCAAATCATTATGCAAATAGGTACAACTGACAACATATATGATTATGTGTTAGCAAGAATTAATAGGTTTCTAAACTATGCAGGTACCATAATCATTAAGGTACAGAGATTAGGAGACTAAGTTTGTTTGCAAATAAAAGAAAATCATGAAAAGATGAAAATGAGAAGGCTTTACTTTAAAGTATTTCCACAGTGGAGTAGTCTGTGACATTACTAAAAAAAAAAGTCTGAATTGGAATAAGGGGCAGCCCAATCACTAGTAAGCACTCCATGAGTGAATTTCATCCAGAAATGACCCTCTTTGCTTCCCAACGAAGTCCTTAGCACGTTATTACCTCTGCAAACACATGGCAAGAGAGACATCGTTTTCTACTTGTTTGTATGACTTGCCAATTTCTGCTAAGCATACTGTAATTCTAAAATTCAAAAAGTGGTGGTTCCCATTTTTTGTCAATAACAAACTAGTTACTAAACTATCAATGTTATTTTATTCTGATACATTAACTCTCTTTTTCTTTTTTATTTCTTTTCTTTTTTATTAAGTCATTTGTACATAGATCATGAATACATTTATGTCATTATGGGATTCAATGTGTTGATTATTTGTACAAATCGGGAGTGCTTACATCCTACTAATCAACATAGCCTTCACCTCATTTACCCAATTACAGCGTTAAGACATTTGTGTTCTACACCTGATAGATCCAACTTGTACTTGCAATAAGCTCCATAGGTGTGGTCCCCCTACTAACCCTCCCTCTATCAACCCACGTTAACTCTCTTCTAATCCATCCTCCTTCTCTGTCAAGTCTATTCTATAAAATCACAAAGATAGACCCGTTGTTTCTGTGCTTACATTGTGTAGAGAGAGGGAAAGAACTGAAGTCATCCAATAAATGGAAATTTTGTAAATGTTCCTTTTTAATCATCTTCATATTTTTTCTAAAACAGTATACAATAGTATAATGGTTTAAATTACCAATGTCTTTTATTTTATGGATGGAGAAACTTGGGTACCTAGAAATTTAATGACTATCTTATGTCTATATGCTATCACAATGAAAAAAATGTTCAAAATATGACAAAGTAAAACACATGTATGTTATAAATTAGTCTTATAGAATGAGAATCTGGAGAACGAAGTTCTAATTTTGACTTTGACACTAATTCCCTGCATAAACTTTAACAATGTCTTAGTCACCTTAGATTGGGTTTCCCTTTAAAATTCTTTGATTAAATTGCATTTCTATAATGAAGATAATAAGACAATGTACAAAGAAAAAACAAAACAAGAAAACCTAACATAGAGATGACTTATATAGTCCTTTAAAGGATAGTGCTGAACCTATATTTTTGGAAGGTTAACAAAGGGAGTAGCCAATGAATGAACTAAGCATCACATGTTCTATATTTACCTTGCCTAATGGGAAGGGATTAGAAAATTCATTTACAACTTACATGTTTTAATCAGTATAGTGCCAGAGAATAATTTTTCAGTTAAAAAGAATTTTAGAGAGTATTTAGCCTGATTCATTCATATGATCTTCCAGAAAACTTCCGCTAAACTATGTTTAGATACATAAAACTGATTATCATCACGTAACTTAAGCAATAAGTCAAGAAATACTAAATCATTTATAAAGATACTTTCTAGAATGATTTCTAAAGTTATTTTAAAAACATATAAATACTAATTTAAAGGCTATAAATTTCTTTAAACTTTCCCCAATACAAGAGAAGTATATTGAATGATTCTGCCACACTCTACCCTAACCGATAACATACAACAGAACAGTGCCAATAACTGAATTCTCAAGAAGTTCAGACTTGTCAGTAGCTATATTGTTTTATAACCATCATACTAAACATTATGAGTGCAATGGTTTATATTTTTCTTGTTTACTTCTATAGGCATAAATCCTGACCTTGATCCTCAGTTTTCTCTAAGACCTAACCTATTCTTCCTAACTGGCTGTAATTCTTTAAGCCAGAAAATGTTATCCATTTTATGTGTGTGTGTGTGTGTGTGTGTGTGTAAAATTTATAACATTTCTTCAACATTAACTCCATTGCTCTTCTTTTATTTGGTTATTTAACTTTCCTCTTTCCAAAGAGTATATGAGATTACTTGTACAAGTAGATTCAATTGAACACACAAATACATTTCTAGAGGAATGATGAAAGGAGGAAAATAGAATGAGATGAGAAGGCTGGAAAAAAATTCAACCAAAAGTCATCTTCTAATATCCAATACACTATTAAAGTGAATCCCAAAATTGACCCCAGCCTTCCTAAAATCCAAAGTAAAATTGATTAGAATAGAAGAAGAAGAAGAATGCTACAGTTGCTCAGGAGCATTTCCTGGTAAGAACTAAGAGAAATTTCTCCTAAGGTTGTCTTATAAAAAATACTATCCTAGACATTCAAAATCACTAAGAAATGAGGTGACACATTGCATACTTCTGTTTATAATTACACCCCTTAATACAACCAGCTGAACTCAGATCACAATGCCTTCTACCAAAAGTGGCTGTATGACCAGGGACGGCCATGTTAGAACACTGATGATTGCAATAAATGGGGATTAATTAGATTGATGCAAATGCAAGGACAGAAAGCCAGGCCTTATGGTAATTGGAAACCTAATAGAAACCAAGGTGACTCATCTCTTAGGAGGAGCTGCATCTTTTCTTCTCTCTCTTAACGTCACTCCTGTACCAATTTTAAAGCATTTGCCCATTAGTTTGTCATGGCCAAATATGTCTGTTGGGTTCCAGTTGTACATGACCTTTCAACTCCCACTCCACCTCTGTATGACAATAGTTCCTGTCCCTCTCAGTTCAAATTCTCAAGGAAAAGAATGTAATTGATTCACCCAGGGTTCACAATGTATAGATTTCTGGCTTCCTCTAGATTGGCTGCTTTGTCATCAATTTTCCATCTGTGGTCAAATATGCAAACCACATGGTAAACAGTGTGGTTCCCATAAATTAGTGTATATGGGGTCAGAGCAGCCACCATGAACCACGTTTCCATTTCATAGGCAAATTTATTCAGTCTCTTTGTCATTAATTTATAGTCACACAAATTTGTTATAATCTGTATGGCTAGAAGATTGCTATTTTATAGATTTTCTGCTGACCTTACAGATTTTCAATGTAATCTTATGACATTTGGGGGACTATCTGCCAATAATGATAATTTGAGTTTTTCAGTAATTGATCTAGATAATATTGATCTAATGTCTTTTCTGACAACAACTGGGTTATTAAAGTCACTCACATTATTGGAGAATAAACCTTCATATCAACATCGAGAAGAGTATTTTCATTCCAGTCTCTTTTGGGATAGAGAAATATTCATCTATCTTTTCCATATTGCATTTCTAAAAACTGAATTTTACCTTATTTCTTAAAAGAGCATTATAAACATAAAGGCAATTAAAAGATAAAATCAGTAAAGTTTGATAAATCATAATTCTAAGATTTACAAAAGTAGCTGAAACATAATTATTGGAAAAATACATATATACAGCATGTGAAAATCAATTATTTT